GCTACATTAGCTATGCTAACAAAACACACTTTTTCAGATTAGCTTGTGTAGCAACAGTTAGCATCCCTATAGCTACGATAACAAATCCCACTGGCTCAGGTTAGCTACTGTAGCCAAACATAGCAACACTGCAGCCACATTAGCTAACCTAACCAAATCCTCTGGTTCAGGAATCACCAATATTTCCCACAGCATTACTAAACTATTATTTACTTTCTTTGTAAAATAATAAGTTAAATTATAATTTCAATGTAAACTTTCACACCTTCAGGGATCTTCTTAAGACTTTGAGTAATGCTAAGGTGAGCGGCTAACTGCCCTCCAACTATTGAAGCTAATATGCGTCGCCATTGCTCTTTGAAATGCTTCCCATTCTTGCCAAAGGGGTTGTCAGAACTCCTATCTCCATGGTGTTTTAGGCATATTTTATCACCATGGTAACTCAGGTTTCCCTTTGAGTTAATAGGACAAATTTGAAGGACTCAGATTTTGATTTAAAAATAGAAGCTCAGCCTTAGATGTCCTGCACGTCTGAAGCTCAGCCTCACCTCCAGTGTCATGTCTGCCGTCAGATGCAGCAGAGACGACCAGTTCTTGGCTACTCCGTTAAGGGAAGACTCCGCCAGCAGCAGAGGGACCGTCCGATGACCCAGACCAGACTCCAGCGTCATCTGGACCGACTGGGGGACCAAAATAGATCATGAAGAAGAGTGGATCTCCACCTGAGGGAAGCTTACGGAACATCCTTCAGCTTGGCGGGGTTCTTTACCTTGACCTGAGCTTTGAAGGTTTCTCCATCCTTACTGCCATCAGACTCTGCGTAGTTCTCTGTGATCTCAGTGGCCTGGTCCACACCCAGGAACCAGAAGTTACAGTTGTAGATATCCATGATGGACCACAGGTTGCTGACATCAGCCTTTTGTTCCTGACTCTGCTCGGCCTGCGTCTTCGCAGCAATCCCGGCCGTTATGGTCATCACCGTGTTCAGGATGACAGGAGAGATCTGCGGGTACAACACAAAACCACCAGGGTTTAAACTAAACTCCCTGTTTCAATGAGAATCTGAACTTTGACTAGACCACTGCCACCTCTCCATTCTTGAGGGCAGACCAGCAGCTGTGTTTGGACACATTGATCATGTCCACTTGTTTCACTTCTCAGCAACTTTATTGCTTCTGTGGAGTTGGGGAGTGTGGAATGATATTTTTCCTTGGCCTGTTTGTTAGATAAAATTTTAAAGTCTGCCTTTTCTCGCTTCCTGAATAGGAGTGATTACTTGATTACTTGATGTAGGGAAAGGAAGGAGGTTTGAAAGGAAGTTTCCCCCCTAGGTTAGATAAAGGGAAAACAGATAAAACATGTCCTTATTGTGTTCAAGATTCACGTCCTGTTTTTGGTGTGAACGGAAAACAGATGTCTGAAATGTTTATCTGAGCAAATTTATGTCCTTTGATGAACTAAAGTGTTTCTGTTGGGAAGATTCAATGTTTGTTTGTGTGAGGTGTGGAGTCTTTATATGTGGGTAACTGAACGCCTCAGAATTGCACTCAGAGCTGTATTCAGCTGTCTTGTGTCATTCTCCTCTGCAGAGTAAAATAAAACCTTTTCTTCCTTGAATATCAACTCTCAGTGCTCATTTTTACTCCCCAGGAGGAAGAGGATGCTCTTGCAAGAGGAGGTTCAAATATATTTAATGTCCTCAGACGGAGAGATAGAGCTCTGACTGGGCAACGCTCACTACATACATTTATACAGCAACTCCCAACACACACTCTCCCTTGGAACTATCCCATCCCTACATAAAGAACTTTCTCTCACACAAACATACAGAACATACTCCACTCCTGCATACAGACTGGTACTAGACTTCTAAACAATCCCCCCTATTTATGCAGAGGAAAGGCAAACTCAAAATATTTAATCTCACAAATAGGCAAAGGAAAAACATGCTTCCACACTTCCCACCAAATTAAATCTTTGTTTAGCTTTTCTACAACCTGCTGGTGAGTACTTTTGGTCATCCTGGTGACCCAAGCATAGGTTCATTTATTATTCAGTTAAACTACTAGGATATTTTCCTTAAGTCTGTGGATCTTAGAGCCGCCCTGGTCCCCAGATGCCCCACATGTTCTCTGATCATCTTCTCAGGAACTAATGATGCAGGCCTTCCTCCGCAGCCATCAACGAGAGAAGGAACCCCGTTATTTAGGCCGGCTGTGTAAAGGTACCAAAACATCCAACCAATTTACACCAGGTCTAGAATCTGCTGTGAAGCCCAGAGGAACATGCCGGATCGCACAAGAAAACACGACAAAACGCTTATTTATGAATCTTCTTCCCTTTGTACAGAGAAGCTTTACTTGATGCTTATTTTGGTTTCTTTCTACATTAATGAATGCAGCAAACGATGTTTTAAACTGCTAACGTACAGACAGATATAGAAGTATTCTGGTAAACCTAT